ATATTGAACGTCGAAAGGTCATTAACCAGAAAATCTTGCCAAAAAGGGACACACGTTTCCAATTATACACAATTAGATAGCCCGTGAAATTCTCTACAAACTGAGCTAGTTAGAATATCTTGACTGGTGGGACCAGTCACAAAAGACATCCAAAGAACGCGTTGGACTACCAAAAACAGCTGCAGAATACTCTTTTAGAAGTCTTTTCTGCCTTAGTGAAAAGCTATATATTTTTCAAAAGAATATCAGTGGATAGCCCGTGAAATTCTCTACAAACTGAGCTAGTTAGAATATCTAGATTGGTGGAACCAGTCATTAAAGATATGCAAAAGAAGTGTATGGGTGTTATATATGCATATATATATGTATATTGGTTTAGTGCTGAAAAACCATATATTCGTATGCGAATGTACAATTTCATATACATGTGGGAGTAGAAACTAAAAGCTAGAGAAATTTAAAATTAATGACCAGGAAGATGATGATAATCCAATAGTAGATAAGTTTTGTACTATCGGATGTTGTGCTCATGTCTCCACTGTATTATGGTATTTGGGATTCGCAAGACATACCGAATGGAAACCACCGCCTCATGGAAGAAAACTCAATGAGCAGTAACTGTTTGTCGTTAGAATTAAGTATCTGTTGGCGTATGAACGAGGACTGATTTACTTAATCTAATATTCCCTTAAAATGATCTCGATAGATACGTTTCTTTTCATGATATAAAACAAGATAACAACTAATTACAAAATGAATAAACGCGTGTATATATATATAGGCTTACATGATTTAGTTCCCGAGGATTTAGTTCCCTTTAATTAAAAATACGGAAAAAAGCTACTTTTAAAAAAGTTGAGGATTTAGTTCCCTTTTCTTTAGTTCCCTTTTTTTTAGTTCCCTATATCAATTAACTAATTAAGGAAAAGAGAATATATAACTTTGTTTTCTATTGTGCCATTCAGTTAAGAAACATAATGTAAATGTGACTCAATTATCAACTAAACTATGTATGTAGTATAAATGCAAATAAATAAAAATGATGATGATTCATTGTATTGAAAATGTGTTAAAAAATCCGAGCACTATTGTTCTAAATACTTAAAATATCTAAGTCCTGCTGCATTTAAGAATGAAACCAAATCTGTTTTTGCTTCCGAATATCGTTGCCATAATTTTTGAAGAGAATTCTCGGCTATTTGTTGATCACGACGTCGTTTTGGCTGTGGTGCACCCATATGATCTCGAAGCGCATTAAATCCGCCAAGTGATTGTTCTTGACGCAGTAAATCAATTGTACAATAAATATTCGGGTGAGCTGCTGTACTACGTTTTTTCCATTTCAAATGACGACCTTCCACATGATTGGTTGTGCGTGGTGAGAAATTCATAAAATGATTGTACGTGGGCGGTGGAAAAGTACTAAATGCGCCATATGTTTGATGAAAATACTGTACAAAACATGTCAGTTGTGGATAGTTTGGTTTGTTTTGTATCAAATAATTAAAACCAAATATCATGTCCGAAAGTGGTAATAATGCCACAGCAGCAAATGATCTGAACCATATACGCAGCTGTTCGTCATCTTTATACGCTGCCTGTAAGCCTAAAGAAAGAAACGTTTGGGTGATATATCGTATTTACTATGAGATTCTTTAACACGTACCTAAATCCTGAAATTTTCTAAATAAATTTTGTCCGAAATGGAATAAACAATATTTCACTTCAACATATGGATAATATTTGTGGAATACATTCGCAACAGCTAATTCAAAATCAATTGTGACACGACGTAATCGTATTGGTAAATTCATTTGGCTCATCTGTTGAAATATTTTTTCAAACATACCAGTATATAATGTTTCGGATTTGCCAGGTAATAAACAATATACGTAAGGTGCCATAATACCATCATCATTATACCCATGGATAGAATAAATCTGATA